CGCCGACGATGTCAAGGTGGTTGGATCAAAAGGAGGAGAGGACCTCAAAAGATACATGGCCAGTGTCCTCAGCTGGGCGCAGAAGTAGGATTTGCACTGAATACTGGTAAAAGTCAGTTGCTATCGAGGACCGGCGACAACTTAACAGTGATGCAGGGCCAGGGGTTGTTTACGATAGAATCAGTAGGTAGGGTTAAAGACCTACGTATCATCGTGACTTCCGATTTCTGTTGGGCCGAGCAGTGCACAGCAGCCGTAAAAAGGCTCGCAGAGAACTCTTCAGACTGAGGTCAGCACTGACTGGAAGAAAACCGGAGATGTTCCTACCCCTGTACAAGGCTATAGTCAGACATCGTCTCGAGTACTGCGTGCAGGCTTGGTCACCCCTCTTCAGAAAGGATGCTGCCTGCTTAGAAGGAGTTCGGAGGCTCGCAACGAGAATGTTTGAAGGCCAAAGAGGAACGTCGTATGATCAGAGACTCCATGGCCTGGGGCTCTTTTCTCTGGAGGGGAGAAGACACATCAAAACCTTCAAAATAATGAAGGGTTTATCAAGCATAGGCTCGGAGAACCTGTTTCAGAAAGACCTCAATTAAAGACCAGGGGGTCACTGTAAGAAACTGAGAAAATCTCGATCCAGGATAGTAGCAAGATCACACTGCTTCGGTAATCAGGTAGTAAACTTATGAAACCGACTGTAAGAAGAGTCAATAGAACTACTTTGGTTCGAACCTTGGAACTAGCCCTACATCGAAGGCAAGGCGAAGTAGTTTCTGGGTTGAGCAATGATTTAGCTCTCCCATTAGGGCACCTGTTGAACGCTCACGTACCTTGACGTCTCTCGCCAAGCAGGTGAGATGAGTTATCCTTTCCTTTCTTTTTTAGCAAGAGAACTGACGGATTACTCGATAAAAGGGTGGGTGCGGAACTGTGCATACCCCGGAAAGAACTCTGGACGCTCGATTGGCTGTGGCCATTTCCTGTCCTGTGCAAACTGATTTGGACTGAAAAGTTCAAACGTACCACCAAGGTCAGGTCCTGTGCATACCACTGTAACGAACCTGGCAACTTCCCAGTCCATTTGAGTGTGATTCGTGTTGGTGCATTGGCGACGTGGAGCTGCGTATCGCTCTCGACCACGTTCCGGACCCAATGTCTGGAAAGCGGACTACAATGGCATGAGGATGTTGACAAGGCGGAAGCTTTTGCGCAACACTATGCACCTGCCGACGTCACCGATACATCACCCCCTCCCGACTGTCGTGCTCTGCGCCTCTGCTGTCTTGGCAAGCCATCTCGGTAGACGAGGTTTGTGATGCACTTTATGCTCTGAAACCATACCAGTCACCGGGTCCGGACGGACTGCGTTCTATCGTGCTGAAGGAGCTGGCGCCCGTCATTGCACCTACATTGGCCGTCTTGTTTGAACAATAATTGACCGAGCGGAGGTTGCCCGCCGAGTGGAAAACCGCCCTCTCTTCAAGGGAGGAGCCCGTGGGGACCCCGCCAACTACCACCCGNGCGGCGTGTGATGGTGCTCCCAACGAGTGAGCAACTGAACCTGCAAGCAAGTCCATCCGAGATCGAGTAATGGGTCGAATGGTTCGAGCTGTGGTGCAGTATTCGCAAAGATAGTACACAGAATCAGTCAGCCCTATTTCTTACTGCTGGCGGCCATGACCGGTACTCCCTGTTGAGAAACCTGGCGTTCCCTGAAGCTCCAGCCAAACTACCATACGAGTCCCTGAAATCGCTGCTGCTCAACCACCTGCTGCCCACTGAATTCCAAGCACATTAAAGGGTCAAATTCAACTCCATGATTCGTGCCGATCATGTTTCCTGCCGTGAATTCATCCTGCAGCTGAACAAACAAGCATCACGTTGCAACTATGGTGATCGCCTGGAAGAACAAATGTATGACCGCTTGGTGGCAGGCATCAATAATCTGATTCTTCAACGAAAGCTGCTGGAGTTGCTGAACTGGCAACTTGCCAGTCCATTTGAGTGTGATTCGTGTTAGTCTCACTGGACCTTTTGGCTCATGGCGTCTGTTCTTAAGTTTGTCAGTTCATCTTCTCCACGAAGAACCTCCCGTCTGTCGACGGATCCAGCCCGCACCTAGACTCGGTCTACTAGCGGTTATCTGACGTATCCATTCACGGGGGATATCCTGGCGCACACGCGAGTCAAGCATACTTGCATACTTGCCCAATTGCTCCCCTAATCTTTCTCATTTTCGTGAAAGATACCACCGAAGGCCTAGAAAATCCCTGTTTCCTCTATGCTGACGACGTTAAGTTAGTGGGAAACAGTAGCCAACTAAACATCATCCAAACTGACATCCACAAAATATGTGAATGGTCAACCAAATGGGATCTACCGCTCAACGTGCTGAAGAGCCACATGCTTTCAGGCTTCGCAGGTCCTTCAATCTTCGTCACAAACCCTGTTGGGATTTCTGAAACCCTACCGTCTAAGATCAGGACGACAGACCTTGGGGTTAGAGTAAAATGTAAATCACCCCAACTGCAGTATGCGACGCAGCAACTGTAAAGTCCCGTAAAGAGTTAGTCTGTTTTAAAACGTCGATAACGAACAGAAGCGCAGAAGTCTTCATCCCGTTATATGCAGTCTTTGTCTGACATCACATTGAATACTGTGTTCAAGCGTGGGTCCCATATCTCCGTACGGATATCCGAAGAACTGGAGCAAGTCTAAAAGTTCGCTACCAGAATTGTATGGGGAATGAAGCAGCTGAGCTACAAATAAAGGCTCCTGACATTAAACCTCTTCTCCCTCGAAAGGCGCAGACTACGAGGAAATCTGATTCAGATGTTCAAAATATCTAGGAACCTCAACAGTTCTCCAATGGGTCACATTTTCCGCCTGAGGGAAGATAGAGGTCGCCGGGGGCATCCATACACTCTGGAGCGGACAAGAAGCCGGCTGCAAATCAGGCATCACTTCTTCTCAACTAGAGTACTTCCATCCTGATATTGGATAACAGTAGTGTCACGCCAATCGGTCCAGACCTTTAAGCGCGAGTTAGACCTAGCGTGGAGTCCCCTTTTTCCGGACTTATGCTCATGATAGCTCACCCTGACCTCAAAGAAACAGAGGCTGTGCCTTGTCTTTTACCTTTCTCTAATTCCAGATAACTCCGGAACGGTCAAACTGGTAACAATACCAACTCACAGGTGAGTCAGTTCCAGGACAGAACACACCACTACCAGGACACTTCACAGGCGAAGGCCTCCTCTCGTCCTGCGATTTGAAATTTGAAATTGTGTCCTCCC